AACAGACTTCCTTTCTAAAAACTATTTTCATAAAAATTTTGAAACAAATCAAATTTAGTGTAGAAAATATAAAAGTCATTGCTGCATAAGGCAAACATTACACTTGTGTAGGAAAGGCCACTTTAAATGTTCAAGTTAAAAATGCAAGACAATTTTTTTCGTTGCTTATATATTGTTATAGGCTCCAGTAATTTTAGGTATGTACTTTCTCAAGACGGCAGGGGCTTGGACTGTTAAGCTACAGTTGCAAGCCAAGCCAAGAAAGCAGCACAGCTACCTGTATTGGTGCTGGAGCAGATGCAACCTGAAGAAACCGGAAGACCCAGTAAGAAATTTTACTGATTTATTTTCTCATAGAGTGTAACTCAAACAGTGCATGATGAAATTGAATAGACAAATAATGGCCCATGCAGAGCCAAACCTTATAAATATGATCAAATTAAAGAAGATATAATTGAGGAAAATACTGAAGAAATTCGAAAAAATAAAATAATTATTCACATCAACAGTTCACATGCTAGCCTGGTAGTGTTACATCGTAAGAAGAATGATTTGTCTTGCATTGTCATGGAGAAGGAGTACATGCTTACGATTCACCAATGCTGGCTCTTTATGCACCCGTGCCTGATGCACACATTCCAACTGTTGTGAGTAAAGGCCTGTCATGATGATTTGGCCCACTGACAGAAGCTCACAGTGCACCACTTGGCGATTAGTTCACCAAGCACATAGCATGATCTTGCATGCATGGTGAGAAGGTCTCACAGTATGTGGCACAGGTTCCGATGGTGACAACCAATGTCTTGAACGCCTATGTGTGTCATACTGGACCTATGTTTCATTGCTGGTGAGTACTCGATCAAATATTAATGCATTATGGTGCTGAGTAAGCAATGACAAACAGGCAACTACACACTGCTGCTTGTTTGCATCAGACAGTGAGTAGGGTACCCACTTGCTCAGCTTGTATGCCTTTCCTATGCGGCGCAAATGAAGTCTGATTGTTTCCACAGATACCTGGAAGTGTGCAGCAAGCTCACCACATGTTTGGCTACTGTCACTCTCTATGGTTGCTCTCAGGGCTTCATCATCCAGAGCTTGTGGCTGACTGCTGCATGGTGCATCACTATGAGATATTCCCTGACTTGAACTTCTGAAACTATTGCTTAGTGGTTTGTTCATTAATGGCATCATCCCCAAAGGCCTGGCAAATTCGGTGATTTGATTCTGCTGCTGGCAGGTTCACTTTAAAATCATACAGCAAAGAACTCTGAACAAGCACCTTTGACATGTCCACTTCAATCAGTCACTGTGTGAGTTATGTTTAAGGTACCGATGCAACACGTTTTTATACTTTTGGTCTATGTTCAGACTCCTATCCTAACCACTTCATCGCCAGGTTTGGCGACTATTTCTAATTTGGGGTTTACTCTTCCAATGTCATATCAGAAATGACAAGAATGTTTTAGGTTTACAAATCTTGGTTAATGCGAAAAAAAGGCAGCATGGGAAAAAAGGAACAGTGTATAAATGGTAAGCGCTCCGATGGACATGGAAGGCAGTGGTGGACCACATTGATGGCCGAATGTCCAGCAGATTAGCAAATTCCCCTCCTGGGAGCAGTTTGTCCAAAAGTGGATGCCTGATTTTAACAAACAAAAGATAAGTGAAAATTACTCTATTTAAGTATTAACACTTTCCAATCCTTAATTTATTTTTTTTTTAACTAACCAACAATTCTTTAATTCATTTATAAAATAGATAAAAAAAAAGAGGGTCTCAATAAAACATATTGCAACAGTGCAGAGTGCATAACAAATATTTAATCATTAAAAACATCGATTTTTTTCAATGGACCAGAAATTAGTTTCTAAGAAACATCCATCTTAAAAAAAAGACGGAAGTCAGTTTATAATAGATACCTGCTTATGGATAAAATTACACAACTAAAAAAAAAAATAAATATAATTATAGTTGAATATAATATAAAATTAATATAATTTTACTTATATTAAATCTAAGAAAATTATTATTACAAAGTTCATACTGCCCAAGCAATTAATATACAGTGGAACCTCAAGATACGAGTTTAATTTGTTCCAGCATTGAGCTTATATAGCCAATTTTTCATATCTAGAAACAAACTTCCCCATTGAAAATACAGTCAAAAGTCATTAATTCGGAATGATCTATAATCCGGACCTCAAAGCTAAAAACTTTCTGCGCATGCGCCGAGTTGACACATGCGCATAGGCGTTTACGCGTGCATGTAAGACCTTTACAACTGCGCATATGTGTGTGCGCAAGCTCAGAATACGTTTTCGCGTGCGCGTTTTATGTATAACGGATGGTATAAGCTAAAATGATCTATTTCAGTTAATGTTGATGATTGCGTTGTTCCTTAATCTTCGAATTATTTCCGGCTTATTATTTTTTGTAGACTATAAGAGCAATTTTATAAAAGTAAACTTGAAATTTCGATTATGTCAAATAGAATTTCCGATACTGGAGCTCCCAAAGGATCTACAAAACGAAAGTATGTTTCCAAGTCATCAAACAAAAAGTGGAATTCCTGTAAAAAATGGATAAAGACATGAAGGTGCAGAGAGGTTAGTGAAAACGAAAAAATTTCGTTTGACAAGTTAGTCGGTATTCTCGGCACAGCAATTACGGGACTTGAACAGCGGAACTTTGTAACTGAACAAGAAATTATGTCTGTTTATAGAATTAAAGAGAAAGTATTATCTCATAAAACGAAGTGACTTAAACAACTTACATTGAAAGAAATGTTTAATAAAGTAAACAAATAAATATTAAGCTTTTTTTTTCTAAATTTTGATACTCTTTATATCATAATTGTTCTTTATTTCATAAATTACGGTTTCATATTTTTAATTTTATAATTTCTGCATGACATCTTACGAGATTTAAACTTATGATCTATAATCCGGAAAAATCGGTAATCCGGAATCGCTGAAGTCCCGACAAGTCCGGATTATAATGACTTTTGACTGTAATAGAAATCCAGTTATCCGTTGTACCCCCCTCAAATATAAATACATAAATCAATTTTCCTAAAAAAGTAACACTGGTGAGTAATACCTGGTGTTTTTCAGATAAGGTCCAAGTACAGATTCTTAGTCTTAGTGCAAATGATAGTTTCTGAAATCGAATCGCCCTTTAACTTCTCATCAATCCACACCAACAGCTTCTCAACACCTACTAGGGGTTTTCGACAGTGCTTGGAAGTAACGGTAACTCTTTTGAATACATCACGTTTCTTAATTTCTCTCTTCTTCTTCAAAATGGTGCAGATCGTCGATGTTGAACAGCCGCAAGTCTTCGTCAATTCAATCACATTTACACCACACTTATGTTTATCTACGATTCCTTTCTTACTTTCAATGGCTATGGTTTCCTTCTTTTTCTTTGCAACACTATCTGAGCCATAAATTATTTTAAGAGGCATCGCAAAATAATTATTTTCATGTCAAATGTAAAAAACAATTAACTCAAAAGTGCACAAACACGTAGATCAAAGAACACTGAGTGATCTGATGAGGAGATTCCCCAAGTTGAGCTGGACTTTGAAACATGCCCCACATGCCAAAAACCTGGCTTGGTACCTGAGTCAATCCTTATATTTAGAGAAGAATTTTTGGCTCATACATTCCTCACATCTCGGATATCTCATATATAGAGGTGCTCGTATCTTGAGGTTCCACTGTATAAATAAAATAAATTAACTTAAATACGAGGGCTATCCAGAAAGTAGATTACGTTTTGGAATAAAAAAATAAACAAAGTATAGGAAACAAATTTTATTATATACAGATGAAAGCCACACTCAAATACTACTTTTCTACATAGTCACCATACAAATTAAGGCATTTATATCGTAGCGATGTACGAGCTTGGAAATTCCTTCGTCGAAAAATTCGGCCGCCTGCGCCTTCAACCACTTCGTTACCTCTTCTTGCAGCTGTGCGTCGTCATCAAAACGCTGCATAGCCAGCCACTTCTTCATTGCTGGGAATAGGTGGAAGTCGCTCGGTGCCAGGTCGGGACTGTACGGCGGATGAGGAAACAACTCCCACTTAAAAGATTCAAGAACTTTACGAGTGACATTTGCCGTGTGGGGGCCGGGCGTTGTCGTGAATACACAAGATCTTAGAGCTCAACATTCCTCTCTGCGCTTGTTTTGAATTGCTCTTCTGAGTTTTTTGGAGAGTTTGGGCAATACCTTTGAGAGTTTATTGTAGTGCCTCTTTCCAGGAAGTCCACCAAAATTACACCTTTTCTGTCCCAAAAAACAGTCGCCATCATCTTCCTTGCCGACATTGTTCGCATGCATTTCTTGGGTTTTGGGGAGAAGTTGTGTGCCCCCACTGCATTGATTGCAATTTCGTTTCACAGTTCACATGTTTCACCCATGTTTCGTCACCAGTAACGATGCGATCGAGTAAAGAGTCACCATCCTTATGGTAAGCGTCCAAAAAGTTCAACGCTGCAGCCATTCGCTGTTTTTTGTGGTCCTCTGTCAAGATTTTTGAATCCATCTTGCACAAAACTTGTGGTAACCAAGCTTTTCGCTGATGATTTCGTGCAACAAACTTCGCGAAATTTGTGGAAAACTCAAAGAAAGTTCCGTTATTGTGAAATTTCGATTTTCACGGACTTTAGCATCGACTTTTTTTCGAGAAGTTCGGCGGTCACTATGCTGGGTCCTCCCACTTCGATCTTCGTCGTGAACATTGGTTCGGTCATTTTTAAATCTTATGACCCACTGACGCACTCCACCTTCAGTGATAATGTTGTCCCCATACACTTCACGAAGCTGCCGATAGATTTCTATCGGTTTACAGTTTTTTGCAGTCAGAAACCTTATTACTGAGCGCACCTCGCAGCGCGCGGGATTTTCAATTAACGCAGACATTTCAAACCATCACAGTATCTGAACGGAGCACAGCACGAACCTCTCACTAGCACGGCTAGATGCAGACTGAGCTGCGCAACGCTCTGACCCCAAGATGGCCGCGCTAGCCCCGCCCCTAGCGGACACAGACGGAAACGTAATCTACTTCCTGGATGGCCCTCGTAACATATATTACTTGATTAAGCCAATAATATCAAATACCTGTAAAAACTGGTAAATGCTATTGCCCTTTTTCATTTTTACACTTCGTCGATGACCTGACCCATCCCAATAGCTAAAGGTAATTTCAATTTCTTCATTTTTTAACTTTTCTTGCTTTTGTACCCACTCCTACATAAATAAAACATGAATGTAATTATAAATAAAGCAAACTAATGACTATGAGCTGCAGTTTAATTCAAAATAAATACACTTAATTTTTAATCTTGATTTTAAGTATATCTCTGCTTCTTAGATGATTTTATGTAAACGTTTTACATTCTGATTATCTGGAGTCTTACTGCAAGACTCCAAGATTTGCAAGGAAAAGTTGCAAATGTGCTGCCAACTCTAGACAGTATTTATAAATTTGTTGCCAATTTAGGACAGAAGCATTTGTTTGGATATCAAAACTATTTTGGTACTATTCTTTTAATAGGACTACATTCAGAAATGTATGTACATATGAATCGTGTGCATATATGTGTATATCATGTACATATATACATGCATTTATTTCTTAGTATGGCCATGCTAACAGAAAAGTACCATGTATGTAAGTGTGCATGCATGCACACACACACACATATATATGTTACAGTGAAACACCGAAATCTGGAGAATGTCGACTTTCACCAATGAATGTCAACATTCACATAGTCTCTTGGTGTATGACCGAAATATTTTCCAAATACTCTTATTTCTGACTTACACCGGTCAATGTCGACATTCACCATGTACTAATGGTGAATGTTGAACATATAACAATATTATATTTTCTTCTCCGTAATTCAGTCGCGAATAAACGCACTTGAGACTTGAAATAAGAACTTAAGAACATGAGAACCTAAAACACACAATACATTCAAAATGAGAAAGGAAAATAATAGAAGTTAAAACTTACTTAATTATACAGTACGTTCTAAATGAGAAAATAAAATAACAGTAATAAAAACTTACTAAATTATGTGATTCAAATCTTATTTATTGCAACAACTTAAACTATTATGGCACTTTATGACCTCTCTTTTCGACTTACACCAGAGCATATCTGTGA